GGTTACTCTAGATCAAAGTATACTTTTCTTAGCTTAGTTGTACTGAGTATTTAAATCTGCGACAAATTTTATCAAATGCAATCTATTGTGTTTCTGTTTGTGTTTGATCACAAGCTTGTTTTGATGATGACCTGGAGCGCGTTCTAGCATTTCTGTCATTGTTTTGCTAGGGTGTTTTGGTCCCTCTGCAGTAGCAAATGTTGGCCATTTAGTTTGAAATGGATGTTGAAATTTGGTTTTGGTGTCATGGACTCTTAGGGAATCAATTTTATGAGTCTAAGCCATAAAATAGGTAAGATACTGGATCTTCCGTTTGGATAGTGTGGTCCATCACGATATTAGAGAAAACTGGAACGGTGGCTTAGGTGTAGAAACAGGAAAGTATTGGACATGTCATTTACATCACAGATTTTACTAGTAACTGGAGCCTTCTTATTGCTAGTTGACTGCTGTGCATGATTAACTACTGTCCAGTCCTCACCCTTTCTATTTTTCACTCCTTTAGAACTTGATTCATTGCCCCGAGCAGCCTCCAAACGAGTTGTATGCGCGCCTGTTGAAATTTGTCCACAGTTGCCTGCAATTCCAAGCATCTTGCAAACTTCTTTGTTTACATTTACATGACTGGATTGCTGCATAATTTCATAAGTTTTTGTTCTTGCATCTAATTCAGCAGCTTGGTCATCTTGGTTGATCACCTGTTTTTTAGATTCATCTAGCCCTTCTCCTTTGTTTTTTTCTCCTGTAACCTTGGTATTGACAGCCCCGGAATTGGCTCGATCAACTGTTGCATTCACTGATACCTATATAAATAGAGTCGAATCCAAGATCCAGAGTCAATCAATGATATTATATATGTACGTTTAATTTCTTTCTGCATATATATGTACCTTTTCTGTTGGATAGACAGTATTCTTGCAGCCAAAACATTTCGCCCTTGTTCCAACAAACATGCTTGAAACTTTAGCTGCCTGTGGTTTCTGTTTCAAATATTCAACTTGGATTAATTATTTACAATATATCCTCTCATATGTTGACAAGATCGAGTTATTCATTTGTCACTTACCTCATCTTTCTCTGGCTTCAGAATTTTTGGTGTCCCATCTATCAATAAATTTTCTAATTTGCAAAAGTTGATTTGAAATGTATGCACTTTTTCTCTCTACCTTCAAAGCTTTTGTCCAGACTTACAGTTCTTTTAAAGAGCTGATCAAAGTGAGGTCTACAGTAGAGAACTCCATCAAAGGAATTATAGTTGCAAAGCTGCAATTGAAGACAATAATAAGCATTGATTATTAAGATGAAAAATTGGATTAACAAGTCTAAATCTACTTTCTTACTGAAATCAATAAATGAAACATTGAATACAAATCTGAACAATGGATTGGCTAAGAATCTAGTACTAGATAAAAATGGACAAACCTTGAGAGTACCCTTGCAGTGATGGCATCTGAAACAAGCTTTATGATAGACTTTATTGTCTGCAGTTAATTTATCAACAAGATACACTGTCTTTTCACATGCCATACATTTCTGTGTTGTTCCTGCAAATGCCATTATTACTGAACCCATTAGTTTATTACCTTACTGTTTAATTAGTTTGCGAATTGGACTCACTATAAATACCTACGCATTGATAGTTGTTACATTAAAATTTATATGGTGATAGTGAACAGACTTTAAACTCATTGAAAATAACTTGGCAGTAAGAGTGGAAATAAAAAGTAGAAACTGATCCATTGTATGTTTTATGCTATCTATTTTGTTTGAACTTTTATTTTCTTTCTCGTTGTTTTTTAACTAATAGAAGTTACTCTCCTGTTAGTGATCAGCCTTGCAAGTCAGAACATCTTCAGGTGCTCAAATAGGTGTTGAATCAGAAGGAGGCTGAACAGAAAGAGTAAGTTCCCTTTTTTCTGTTCCCATACATAGTTTTGCCTCTCTACCTTTTCTTTTCATACTTCTCCTTTTTTCAGTAATATGTACACATATTATACTATTTCGCATCTGCTTTTTTGTATCTGGCAGAGATTTTAAAAAGTCATGAATCAAGAAGGGTGTTCAAGCAAAAACAAAAAAATATCCAACCGCATTCCAGCTGGATCACTTGCATCTTTGCGAAATCAAAAGGTTTCGTCGTTGACAACAAAGAGAATCTCTCAAGCTATAAGGTCTAATAAAAATGAAAAAACAATCAGAATCTCGATCACTTGCATTTTTGCGAAATCAATCGTTGACAACAAAAAGAACCTTTCATGAAAATGAAGAAAGACAATCAGAAGGTTCCACAAAGATCTCAACTGCAAGAAAAAGTGCGGCAAGTGCCATTGATTTCTACCTCTTCTACAGCACAAGGAGTACAAGAACAAGTGCGGCAAGTACCAATGGATTCCATCACTCCTACATCACAAGCTGTGCATGAACCATCTGAGGATTCTACCGATCATGAAGCAATTGAACAATCTGAGGAACCAGGCAAGTATATATAAATTTAATCATAAAATTAACTAATAGTGGTGATTGGTGATTATACTTGTTTTGTATTAGTGCAGGCCCTTCTGTGCTAAAAAGAAAAAGAGGCCCTACTCAAATGCAAAGTGTGCACGGTAGGAAGGACCGTAAAATAATCGTGCTAAATGAGTTCAATCAACCCATTGGTCCCACTAAGGAAGTTGTGAAAGAGTTGGGTAGCTTCCTCGGCACATTGGGAAGGAATAAGACCTTTTGTCCTCTTAATTTATTTGATTGGAGGAAAGTAGACAAAAAAGATGATATTTGGAAATATGTCAAGGTATGAAGTTCCTAATGTTCAATAAGCGTCGATATTTCACATTTCTTATATTAACCCAATTGCACTAAATTTGTACGAAAAATATGACATTCCTGAAGAGGCGAAGAATTGGGTTTTTGATTTAGTTTGTACTGCTTGGAGAAAGTATAAAAGTCAGTTGAAGAAAAAGCACTTTGATACATATAAGAATGACGAGCGTCGAATGCAGAATAGGCCACAAAATGTTCCTGCGTCTCACTTTAAAGATCTTCTTGACTATTGGAACTTCGATGCCGCCAAGGTAATTACATCAAACTTTTGCCAACTCGGTCTGCTAGTTTACTGTGGGCACAACACAATACTAGAACTTTAATCTCTTAAAGACACTCAGCCAATACAGAACAAAAATGAATCAGAAGATACTAGCCTTACATTTTCTCCATACTAGTTAGTGACTGGAAGCTTTGAGGAAGTTTACCGGTCATTGAATTGAAAGAGATATCCCTGAAGCATAAATGTAAACAACCAAAACTAAGCAACAAGGGATAAAGCATAATTAAATCAATCAAGAAAAACAAAACATACATGCCAAAGGCTGAGTTAAGTTGAGCATCAGGTCAAGGATCGAAGCCCTTCTCATCAATAATATAGCGACAAACAACTAAAGGCATAGTTCTGGACATTTCACTTGGTGGCAAGAATTCACATAATAAACTTAAGGGAGACTCTATATATCTATCAAGAATAGCACATTATACATTGAGATTCTCAATTATAACAGGGTAACATCAATGTATATAAGAACGGCAGAAATGAAGAGAAGGCCTTACAGTGTGTTGAGAGCAGTGTTATTAAAAGCGCTCGCTTCTCGCTTTAAGCGATGAAGCGAGGCGAGGCGCAGGGTTAGCGCTTTTCTGCTAAAAAGGCGACTCACATTCAAAAAGCGTGCGCTTTTCTCGCTTAAGCGAGAAGCGAGCCTGTAGAAAAAGCGAGAAAAAGCTCGCTTAAGCGAGCATAAGGCATCAGGTAGGGTTTTTTTTTTGAAAAATTTTTTGGCAAATAAACCATCTGTGAACAAACAAACATACGCGACTTCTTCTCCAGCGGCGACCATTGCTGCTCCAACGACTTCTTCTCCAGATCTCA